AAATATTAAAATATGTTTATTTAAAAATTATTTATTTATTTTTTCTTGAGATACAACATACTAATTAAAATTTAAATTTTGCAAATAAAAATTGTGTTTACCGTAGTCAAATTTGGAGATCATATGCAAAAAATACATGTTATTTGTTAAAAATAAAGAAAAACATAATTGAAAATTAGTTTAACTAGTAAAACAACTATGGTTGATTAGTTTCAAATAGTGTATTACTTCTACTCATTCTATTTTATAGTTATTATATTAATTATAAACAAATTGACCAAAAAATAGCCTTAAATTTAAGTTGTAGAAATATAAAATCATTTTTCATACATATTATACGATAGACAATTAATTTTAATAATAAAACTGCAAACTGATAATACATATAATACAAACATTTGGTGAGATAAAAAAATTAGGTAGAATTCTAGGACCCTAATTTTTTTTTTTGAAAGATGTTCTAAAAATTTTACGGTAATACTACTTGTACTTGATTTGAGGACTAAATACATTGGACAAATAATGTATTTTATTTTATAGTTTGTATAACATTGGACTAAAACGTATTGAGTATTTAAATTATATCCCAATATCTAGTTTGTATAACATTGTATAAAATTTTATTTTGGGTCTCTAACTTTATCTTCCAATTTGAGGGCCCTAAACAATGGCTTTATTGGCCTATGGGTTGAGCCGACACTGACCTTTATGGGTTTTACTTAACCCGTTCATACTTGTGAATAAATTTTTTTTGCTTGATATTAGTTATGTAATTTTTTGAATAAAAATTAAATAAATTTAATAGTGCCTACCTATTTCTTCTGATATGGATTAGAATAAAAAATCCTTACCTAAATGATTACTAACCTTTGACCAATACTATTGGATCCTACTAATGCTATTAGAACCTAATTTAAGTACTTAATATATTATAACATTAAGTCTAATAGTGAGTTCTAATATTTAATAAAGTTCACTATCCATACAATAGATACGCTTTAGACATGTCTGAATAAGTTTTGAACATATTAAAGTTATTTTGTAATTTTTTTAAATTATAAAATTATTTTATTATTATATAAAATTGAGTGTCGTTATGTAAGAACCTACAGAGTCATAAATGAAAATTTGTTACCATGATTTTATATATAGGAAAAAAATATTTGTCTTTTTTTTTTGGGTAAGGATCATTAAACGGAAAGGAATTCGTGTACAAAGTATGTCCCATTTACAGTTGACATTAGTCAAGAAAAGAAAAGGAACAAAAGGAATGGCAGCTCTTCTTAACAGAACAGAAGAAGAGATGCCATCCCAAAAACAAAAGTATACAGGATGAGAAACAAAAAGAAACAAGATGAAGCAAAAAGGTCATGTTACTGCAACAAAGGCCAAAGCATCAACAGTTCTTCCAACCAGACAAGCCCACTATAGATTGCAGCACAACCACGAGAGCATCTGAAAAAAATATTTGTTGATAGGATTGATTTCTAACACTTTCAAAAGATAAAAAATTATCAGATTCAATTATAAATGATAATAATTAGTCTCTTTTTTTGTACCAAATTATAATTAAATTCTTTTTTATTTCTTGTGTACATGCGATGTAGAGCAGTTTTAAATTTTATGTTTAAACTAAGATGAGCAAATTTACAAGAACCAATGTTATTTGGACTTAATCTAAAGATAAAAAAATCTAATTCATTACACTCATTAGATTAATTATGAGCATTAAAAGCAGAGAGAACTTCCAAAGCCTCCAAATTTGGCACGAATAACATTTTTTCACTGGAAATTTTATTGATTATAAATTTTAGTATTCAACATGACCTGGAACGTCCTAAGCCCCAGAATTATGCTCGAGCAGTATTAAATGGCCCGTGAAGAACCATTAAGAAAAAAATTGGCTCTTAAAAAGATATGACTCTTGCAGCTGATTTCGATGCTATACTTACAGAGGGGGTGAACTAGACTTAAATGGAGTGTCATAGAACAATGTGATTCATACATGAGTTGGAGTTGAATCTGTTGACCTCATTTTTTTAAACGAGTTTAAAAAAATATTCAAGTTCGGATCGTTTAAAAAATGAGTGGAGTTGGAGCCGAGTTCAAAACGAGCCGAACCTGAGTACCTTGACTAATTTAAATATAAATAAACCGAGTTTTGCGAGCTCGACCTAAGTCTTTTTAGGCTCGTTTTTTAAACAAGTTTAACAAATTATTTAAACTTGATTTAGAAATTCTATTCGAGCTGAGTCTGAGTAGCTATCTTAAAAATTGTTCAAGATCAATTCATTTAGAATACAAATCCTATTTGAACTGAACCTGAGTAGCTCGGTTCCCTTATCAGCTTTGATGATGCATAAAATAAGTTATGCACAATCAAGAATCGAGTGTATGATACAGAGTAATCAATGAAACAATTAATAGCAAAAGACAAAAAATGGGTGGTTGGGTCAAAGTGACCAAACCATTGAAAGCGGTGACAGTTAGAGGTGTTCAAATTTTTGATTGACTGCAATTTTTTACCTTACCCGACCCTACATTACTGAACAACTAGTTGCAAAAATCGAGTAGAAATTCGGAAGAGTTTTTGGTCTTCCGATTAAATCGGTAGAAATGCGAAATACCCATCAATTTTCACATTCCTACCCTACCTTACCAGCAAAAAAATATATTTAAATTTTTTTTTATTTTTTTTAGTAATTATAAGAGTATTTGTGTGGTATAATTTATATTATAACATTGTTATTATTGTGGATGTTTGAGTTGTTAAAACATGGACTTGTTTTTTATGTAAGTTACATGATTTGTGGTGAACTAATGATTTATGAGAGCAGTTATGATTTTAATGCGTTTCATATGGTTTAAACTTAAAATAATTGTTATTGTATTTGTGTAACAATTATAATGGATTGATGTTCATGCATTTTTGTGTTTTATGGTAATTGTTGTTGTAGTTGTTTTAGGTTTTAGTGTTATTAATTTATTGTATTTTTAAATTAATGCATATTATTTAATTGAATTGTTAAAATAATTTAAAAATTAATAGCTACAAAAGTGTTTACTCGACTTCCTACCCGATTTCCTACCCGATTAATTGTGTAGGAAGTCGTGTAGGAATACCACATTTGATCAGGTAAGATAGGGCAAGAAAAAAATTCTTCTGCAAAGTATCGGGCAGGAAGACGAAACACTATATTTCCTACCCGTAGAATAGGGTGAACACTCCTAGCGATGGTGGCCAAAGAACTTTATTAATAAAATAGGTGGGAGATAGAGATAGAGCAAGAGTAAGCTCTAGGTGAGGTTAGGTAGCTATAAGAGATGTACTCCTCATGTCTAGAGAGTTTACAATTTATAGGCACAAAACCTTAATTGAGGTGGTGACTTGAAGGGTAGGTTACTAGTTTTTTGGGGAGGATACCTACAACTACGATAAGTACAATTAGAGATAGTTTTGATCTTTAAGAGTGGTTATTCCAGTAATTACTTCCCACGTGCGCTAATCTTTTTGAATTTTTTGAACTTTGGACTACATCGAATCCATGAACCGGTCTTGACCAGTATTATAGCTAATTTAAACTTACTTAATGAATTAGGCTTTGACCCAGTTAGATTTGGGCTGATCAAGCTCAACACGTGAAAAGAGAATTTATTTAGATATCACATGTGAAACTCTGCTATTGAATTGAAAAAGGGAAAAAAAATAAGCTTCAATATGTAATTAATTGGCTTAGCGTAAGTAGGACTGTCAAAATTCGACACGACACGATTAATCGACACGAATTGACACAAATTAAGCGGGTTTGGCTGATAAACGAATTAACACGCCAAACACGTTTAATAAACGGGTTATGTTTGGGTGAGACCTATCAAACCGTTTATCACACGTTTATCCGTTTAAAAAAATTAATATAATAATAAATTAATAATTATTTTAAAAAATTACACAAGAAGTAAAGAAATCAATAAAAAAAAAAAGTAAAATAGTAGTTTAATGACAAAGGAGAGGAGATGGGAGCACTTCAAAGACAAAGACAAACCAATGCCATTTGTTTTTGTCTCACATTGAAAAATGAGGGGAGATGGGGAGGTTTGAGTTGCCTGTAAAAGGCAATGACCTCTAGCTTTTTTTTTAAACATTCAAGTCTTATTTTTATGAGATTTGACTAAAAAATCCTCTTTTTTTAGGTAAGTACAACTGACAGTAAAAAAAGTGGAGTATTAAAATTTGTTGATATAATTTTTTTAAAATTAAATGGGTTAAACGAGTCGTGTCGTGTTACCTGTTTATTAAACGAGTCGTGTTCATATTGGGCTTTTTTATTCGTTTATTAAACGTGTCATATATGAGTTTATATTATTTTCACCTGTCACTCATTTAATCCGACACAATTGACACACTTAAGCATAAGTACGAGTTTTAGCTTTCCCATAAATTTTTGTTGCAAACATGTATACGAGGCCTCCTATGAAACACCCATCTCCCACATTCCCGATCTTTGCGGGTAGGATAGCAGCCCTAGAGGTGAGGATGAGCGAAAACAATACACAATCTTTACATGCATCAAATTTCGATTTTTTTATGACTCATAAACTCAAGCCCTGTTGCGTGGACAAACTTCAATCTTTTGACATTAGGGCTTGTAAAAGTCTAAACAGACAAGCCAGCAGCTATCAGATTGTTGGTCTATAAATACCCATTTCGTTTACAGCTTGATTTCATCAATCACGAAGGAAGACAAGGCAACATAACAAGAAGAAAGCACAACACTGAGGATGTCATCAGCGTGTGATGGTAGTTCAAGTTTTACTTTTGATACTGCATTGAAAGTGTTGATTTTTGTGGTTCAACTTACGACTCAACGGGATTGATAGGATTGAATCCAACACATTTGGATCGATCCTAGCTTTTTTGAACTCCATTGAGCTGAAACTTTTATTTGGTTGAGACGTAATTTGACCCCTTGATTGAACCATAATTTTTTCAATTTATTCAGTAGCCTACTTAGGTAAGACTTCATGGCCCGAGCTCGTTGGGGTGAAGGGAGAGACTGCGGCAGCAACAATTGAGAAGAAGAATCCTTTCGTTACTGCTACAATTGTGCAGCCGTCCTCCCAGAATTTCGCTGCGATAATGTTAACGTTGTTGTTGACAAGAATGGCATAGTTACTGCGACCACTATAATTGGGTAGATTGGAATGAAAGATATCAAACTCTTGATAGTTATTTACTATGTTATTTGTATTTGAAATGATTCAAAAATAATTGGAGTTTATAATCTCCATGTGTTGTACTTATCACTAAATAAGATGGATTAATAAGTAGCAAATATAATGTTCCTCTCTCTATCTCTCTCTGTGTGTATGTGTTTGATCCACGTAACAGAATTTTCTGCCAGAAAAGAATTCTAATTTGAAAGATCAATAAAGAAATGCTATATTTAGTGAACAAAGCGCCTACCTAAAAATTATCTCAAGACACGCAAATGAGAGATAGTTTTATCTTCATTTTAAAATGATCGAATTCTAGATAGAGACCCATTGCACATTGATTAGACGAATATGTCTCGGTAACCTGCTTATGTCATGGTATGTAGATTTAAGAAAAAAATAGAGGACCATATCTCTAACAAGCCTAAATATAAAAATTTTAGTACTTGGGCTTTTATTAGTACACAAGACGGCCTCATGTGACAGACAGTGAACCTTTGATATGTATTTCGGGGTGGTGATGATAATCTGGTCTTCCACTTCTTGTTGCTGATAGCCTAAAATCTACGACCATTATACAAGGCCTAAGGAGAAGCAAAAAAGATGGTTCTTACAACTTGTTCTTGCTTCTCAGGCCATTCTTCCTTAAAGGATGCTCAAGATGTAACCAATGTTAAGTGCTAAATGAAACTGGGTTTAACCTAATTATGGTAGTGATGTGTTGCTTTCACGCCCCATATATAAGCTCTACAATGACGAATATGAAGAATTGATTTTCATTACTTTTGACGATCATGGTGTTTTACATTTGTCACCAAAAAAAAAAATCGGTACCATAGTCAAACCCACTTTTTCAATTGAAACCTAATAGTCATCATGTTGATCAAAACAAAATTACAGAAAATCTCAGCAAAAGGAGAGTTGGATTCAAGGAAAAGAAGAGATTTTTCTCGTACCATCTGATTCTGATTAATTTTATCAATAGATCTTTGGTCTAATGTTATTCCTTACCTTGTGTGAAAACCTTATCTTCTTATGATCAATTATGATCAACAGTTCAATTGGCAATTTTATCAGATAAGAAACCATCTTATTCAGTTGTGAATAGCACTGTAGATAACTTGTGGGATCAAATGGGCCAATCATTTTTGACATTTTTCAGTCATATCCATCCCTAAAGATAAATTTAGCCACATAAATCATCTAGAATTGTTGTAGATGTGTGTATATCTCTTCGTATTTGAAAAATCTAAATATAATTCCTATGAGAAAAATTATACTTTGAATCCCTTAACTATTCAGAATTGTTCGCACACTATGTCAAAAGTAAATGTCCGCCACATTTTGGGTAGGAAATATCAACCTGTATAGTATAATTGATGTTTTTAATGTCTAAATTTGGGACAATATGAAACTAAAAACCTTGCAACTTGAGAGATTGATAGTTGGGGAAGTAAAATGAGAAACTTCATAGTTGAGGGGCCGAGTGAGATCAGAATTTTAGTTGAAGAGACAATATAAAATAGGGTCGTAGTTAGTTGAGGAGGGCAACATTGGAACTGGAAAGTATTCTATAACAGCTGGTATAATTTACCTTGACACTATTGTCATCTTACCTGTAATGTTTTTTCGTTAGTTTTGTTTGTGATTGATTAACACTTCTTTTTTTTTAATTTTTACCCCTCGAATTATTATCCTTCTTTTACTTTGTACTTTCAATTATAATTATTTTTACATTGAACTTTAAAGTATCAATTTTATTTTATGTCACTCAAAGGGATAACGACTATCATTTTTTGACAGTAAATGCGCATGTGGTGGTCTGTATTGCCAATAAGCTGCTATCTATTGCATATGTGCAAATCAAAAATCAAGAAAAATATTTATCTATGACTTTGCCCTTCCTAAGCTCTAAATTTTCTTCTTCTGGCCGACTTTTTTTTTCTTCCTAACAACCATTTGATTGCAAAAGAGGTAAAATAAAATGGTACTAGTCATTTAGTGAAAAGCTCTTTGAGGTTTTCCTCCCTCATTTAATAGATATTTAAATTTGTTGTTATTTATTGAAGTGATATTAAATAAAATTGATACTTTAAGATATAATGTGAAAAATTTTATAGTTAAAGATATAAAGTGTAATAAGGATAATAGTTTAGGAGGGTAAAATGTAATTTACTCCTAGTTAGATAAAGATTGACTAATTGCATGCATGGTACAATAGAAAAAGTTAGTTGAATGTTTTACTTGGCAGACAGCATATGAAAATAAAATTAATCGCTTGAATGATAATAATGACGAGTTATAAATCAAATGTTTTGACTTTGAATTTTGGTAATCTTTTGATGTTAGGTCATAAGAGTTTTATTTTTCATGAATTTTTTAGTCTCAAAATAGATGATTTACATTTGATTGGACTAGAGAGAGAATTTGTCAAAATACACGTAAGTTGAGAAATACACCTTAGACCAAAAAAAATAAAGACAGTCCATGAAAAGTGAAGTAAGGAGAACACTACGGACCAAAAATGATACTGTACTAATTGAGTGAAATTCAAGTAAATTCACGATGGATAGCAATAAACACTTGACTTAGGTGGGTAAGGGACCACCAACCTTATCCTCTCTTATCTGTCCGTGCACGTGGCGTGCCTTGTGTGGGATTACGATTACTACGTACACGTTTTTTTTAAACATCTATTTTTCTCTTTCATCTGTCAAGCTACAAGGCCATGTTTGTCTTTAAATACTCATTTTCATCACAGCCAGTCCATATCAATCTCGAAGCAACCTAAGGAAAAAGCATAACATTTGGGGATGGCTTTAATCTGTGAAGGTAAAGAGCTCTTTATTAGTTCTATTGCTAAGAATACTTTTAGATTTTCAATGCTACGTAGATAATATAGTAACATAATTCTCCTAATATTTTTTTATGTGCTTAATGATTTTCAAGCTAAGGAATGGCGAGTATGAAGAATTGATTTTCATTACTTTTGATGACCATGGTGTTTTACGTTTCGTCACCAAAAAAAAAAAAAAATGGATACCATAGTCAATTCCACTTTTTCAATTGAAACCTAATAGTCATCATGTTGGTCAAAACAAAATTACAGAAAATCTCAGCAAAAGCAAAGTTGGATTCAAGCAAAAGAAGGGATTTTTATTGTACCATTTGGTTCTCATTGATTTTATTAACGGGTTTTTGGTCTAATATTACTCCTTCTCTTATGTGAAAACTTTGTTTTCTTAAGATGAATGATTCAATTGGCAATTTTTTCGGATAAGAAATCATCTTATTCGGTTGTAAATAGCACTGTGGATAACTTGTGGGATCAAATTGGCCAATCATTTTTGACATTTTTCAGTCATGTCCATCCCTGAAGAAAAATTTAGCAACATAAATCATCCTAGAACTGTTGTGGATGTGTGTATATCTCTTCGCATTTGAAAAATGTAAATATAATTGCTATGCGAAATTTTATACTTTGAATCCCTTTACTATGCTGAATTGTTCACACACAATGTTATTTCGAATCCCTTTACTATGCTGAATTGCTCACACACTACGTTGAAAGTAAATGTCCGCCACATTTTGGGTAGGATTTGTAGTATAGTATATGTTTTTAATGACTAAATTTGAGACAATATGAAACCAATAACCTTGCAACTTACGAGATTAATAGTTCGGGAAGTAAAATGAGAAACTTCATAGTTGAGGGGGTAGAGTGAGATCAGAATTATAGTTAAGGAGACAATATGAAATAGGGTCGTGGTTAGTTGAGGAGGGCAACATTGGAACTGGAAAGTATTCTTAGCAATATGGCAGCTGGTATAATTTAGGGGAATAAAGTGTAATTTACTCTTAGCCGGACTAATTGCATGCATCAAAATCTGGTACAATAGAAAAAGTTAGGTGAATGTTTTACTTGGCAGACAGTCCATGAAAATGAAATAAACCGCTCAAACAATAATAGCGAGAAATTATAAATTAAAACGTTATGAATTCAAATTTTGATAATCTCTTGAAGTCATGAATTTCTTAATTTCGTAACAGATGACCTACATTTGAATGAATCAAAAAAGTAAGTAGTTAAAATATATGTATGCTAATACAGACACTGACCAAAAAAAAAGACAGTCCTTGTAAAGTGAAGTAAGGGAACGGATCGAAAATGATATCGTACCAAAATGTATAATTTTTAAAAATTAATTTACAACTACAAGGCTATGTTTGTCTATAAATACAAATTTCATCACAGCCAGTCCATATCAATCACAAGGCAAGCTAAGGAAAAAGCATAACATTTGGGGAGGTAAAGATCTCTTTATAAGTTGTATTGTTAAGAATATTTTTAGAAATTCAATGCTAAGCTGAATTCGACTAATATATTTTTTTGTGCTTAATAATTCAGGTAAGAGTTCATGGCCAGAACTTGTTGGGACGCGAGCACAAGATGCAGCTGAAATAATTGAAAGGGAGAATTCATTGGTTACTACTATCATTGTGTATAAGACTTGCCCCGTTCCCCTAATTTTCAGCTGCAACAGGGTTAACATCGTGATTGACTGTAGCGGCACCGTTATAACAGTCCCTAGGATTGGTTAGGTTAGAAGGACACGTTCTGAATTGCTAATAATTATCTAGTGTGGTATTGTACTAAAAATAATTCAACACTCGGACATTGCGGTGTGCGTGTGTTGTACTAAACCTTAAATAAGGGGCAATGATAATGTTCCCGCTTTGTTAATCATCTCTCTCTCTCTCTCACTGTCCTGCCACTGCTGGGGTCCTTGGGCTGTTTTGCAACTTCAATTAAGTGCACCAACTTGAGAGGGTCCAACCTATTAATGATAAATGAACTCTAATCTTGGTTAAGCATCTACTTCCTAGGAAAAAAGAACAAATCACTATTTCCAAAAGTTCTAACCTTTAGAGGTATAGATAAGAGACTATCAATTTACCTGAAACTGATGCCCTTGACTTATTTGTGTTTTTGTATTTTTGCAACTGCAGTATAATGTCCGACAAAATATGTTCAAAAGAAAAAAAAATAACAAATGACCAAAATGGTAAAATCCTATCTGAACACGAAACCTAGAAACACCAAAGCATAGAATAAAGAGATAATTAACGATGATTCATTTTGACTGCTACAACTTAAATTATAATGTAAACAAAAACCTTTTTTTTTTTAGAAAAATTAAATTTTCAAATTTGATAGACCATGGAAGGAGTCTGCCCAAAAAATGATTAGGCCAAGACAATGTGGTGGGTCATGAACATTTCGATGTTTCAAATAAACCATGCAAATTGGGCAAGATTCCACTACAGGGACTCTCGATTGGTCACAATACATTATGTTCCAATAGCTTTAGTTTTCCACTACGAGGACTCTTCGATTTGAAAAAAATAGTTATTATAACGGTGATACTACGTCAACATTATCGCATGATATTATCAAATAATAATATGCAGACAAATAAATAATTTCCCGTCAATGTAAGCAGATATCTACCCACTTACTTCCATGTAAAAAAATAACTATCAAAGTGAAATTTATTTTGTCCATTTCGGGTTTTATTATTAATTAGTGGTACTATGTCATCAATGTTGACATGATATCACCGTTATATTGAATATTCTCTCGATTCTCACTATCACTCTTTTGGCAGTCCAATAGCATAACAAAAATAACGTTTATAGAAAGCCATTCAAGTGACGTATAAAAATAACGTTTATAAAAGGAAAGATGATAGAAACCACTATTTGATTTTGTGATGATTAAATTCAAGTCTTATGGACGGTGAGGTTTAAGACTGTATTTACATCATACAATAATTGATTCTGACAAAACTCAAAGTTCTTGTTAGATTCACAAGGTATACTTACATAGTTATTAAATCTGGCCTTAATGTCGACACAGGTCACTGGATTAATTGGTGTGAAGGGAGAGAAGATTTTGCATTCATGATAAAAAATACTAGTTCTCGCAGGCATAGTTCTTTTTCACGTTTATATATACTAGTTGTTGCCTACGTGCATAGCACGTATACTATTTTGTGAATAAAATATTATATATTAAAGATATTGATCACTTTTCTTTTTGTAAAATCCACAACTTTAATAAACACTAACAGTTAAATGACCAAGATTCAGATTTTATTAGAACGCTCTTTCCCTTCAAGATTAAAAAAAATGCTAAAATAATAAAATGGACTTAAAAGACAAACAATATTGATGTTTGAATGGAAGGTGTCTAGTTAATATCTAATACATTGATCATTGGTGGAAAAAGAATACATATTTTATTATGACATTTATTAAAATAAAATTAAAAATAAAAAACTATTTTTAAAAAAAAATCATAATTAGTATACAGTTATACTATATTGAAATTTAATTTAATAGTTTAAACAACTAAATTAAGCTACTAAATTATCTCAATTAAAGTTAAAAAATATTGTGTCTATTACAATTTGACCTCTTGTTTGATTTTTTAGTTTTATTCCAATAGATAATATAATACTGATTATGATTTTTTAAGAAAAATTGAGTTTTTATTTTATTTCAATAAATGACATAATAGAACATGAATTTTAGTTGTAAAATTCATGTTCTATTATGAATGATTTAGATCACTTGTTTGATTTTTTAGTTTTATTCTAATAGATAATATAATTATATATTAATTACAAATTTTTAAGAAAAAATTGGATTTTAATTTTTTATTATATTTCAATAAATGATATATTATAATATAAATTTTGGTTATAAAATTTAAAATATTTGATATTCAATATTTGATTGAAGTATTTTTTATTTAAGTATAACATTTTAGATTTGAAGGATTTAAGTATTATATGTCTGCAAACTCTTGAGGGACTGGGTGTAATTTATTAACGGATATAGTAGGGGTGTCAATTTTATCCATTAACACGAACCCTACAAAAATCTGACCCTACACAAAATTCGAAAATAACATGACTAGTTGACACAAATAATAAATGGGTCAAATTAATGTTCGACATGAATAATATAATTAATAAGTACTGTAGATAAAAAATAATTATTTAACCAGTATTGTAGAAAAAAAATAATTTTTTTTTAATTTTTTAAATAATATTATATGAGTTGTTGTCGAATTAAATAATTTTTTATTAACACGAATAATGACACGAACTTAACATATATCGAAACTGATATGATACAAAAATAACACGACGCAACATGACTGACACCCCTAGGATATACTAACGACAATGGTCTAAGTGTTATGTGTGTAATACTTTAAATGTCAGGGAATTTGAGTGATTAAATGATAAATTATAGGAATCTGAGTGTAATTCTCCCACATGTATAAAATATTATAAATTAAAGTTGTTGATCACTTTTCTTATTGCAAAATCCACAACTTTACTAAACATTAACAGTTAAAATTAAAATGGTCAAGATTCATATTCTATTAAAACACCCTTCTCTTTCAACATAAAAAAAAATACTAAAATAATAAAATGGACTTAAAAGACGAACAATATTGACGTTTGAATGAAAGGTCTCCAGTTAATATTTAATACATTGATCATTGGTGAAAAAGAATTTAGAGTTTGTATCGGTTTGTAGTGTGAAAAAATAGAGAATATAAAGAGGTCAAATTGGTTGAAAACTAATTCTTGGAACTTGAAGAGTCTATGAAGTGGCCCAAAGCTTAGTTGATAATTGATACATATATCAATTAGAAATTTAATCCCCAAATACGGGTCAAAAATTTAAATTGATTATAATTACGTTAATTATTGAATCAGGGATTAAATAGATTTTACAATAATAATTAAGTGCATATTTGAGAATCAAAAATTTTAATTTAATTTAATTTTATTAGTAGTACAAATAGATTATAGTCAATTGCCCCCTCACGTACATGTTGAATTTTGGCCTTAACACATGAAATTTTTTTTAATAATTAGGGTGGTGGTCGGATTCAAACACATGATCTTATACTCTGATACTATGTTAAACAATCATCTATTCTAAAAGTTTAAGTTATTAGGAAGGGTATAACTTTAGTATTTATACTTCAACATAAAATAGTTAAAAAAGTAGAAAATGCATAAAAGTAACTTTTTCTCGAACATTCAAGTTTGTTTTTGTTTGCAAACTTAATTTTCCAACAAAATTTAAGGGTCTAATTGGTTAAAAATAAATAAAAATGATGGAAAGTAAAAATTATAAAAAGTAAAGTGAAATAAAAGAAACTGATAGAAAAATATATTTTCATACATGTATTTGGTTAGAATAAAAAATTTCTTAAAAAATTTCATTGTATTGTTTGAAAGAAAAAAAATTTATAAGAATTTTTTTTATAATTATCTAAATTACCTTTAATTATATTAAATCGATTTTAAAAGTAAAAAATATGTAATTATAATTAAAAGTTAAAAATTTTAAAAAAATGACTTGAAACTTAAGTTTAAGGCAATCACTAATACAAAGGTCTTTGTGCCAAATTATATGATTAATTAAATTCATACCAAAATTAATAACTAATAAAATATTTTAAGAAAAATAAGGGTAAAATAGGAAGTTAGTTATAAATCACAATTTTCTTGTATTTCATTGTGTATTTTATAAGAAAAAAAATTAGTTATTTGTGAGAAAATTCAAGCATGAAGGAAAATTATTTTTTTCATCATTTTCCTTTTCATGCTAACCAATCACATAAAAATTTTAAAATATTTCTTTTTCTTACATTTGCTATCATTCTCCTGCTAAACAAAAGAATCATAATGGAAATTTTTTTCTGCCATAGAATTTGGCAGTTAGCATCCTAGCCACTTCCCTCGTTACCCATGATTTTCCTTCACCAAACCTTCTTATCCACATTACAATGGAGGGATTTTCCTTGGTAAATTTGTCCAAAACACTTAAAAATTAATATCTAAATGCGTCGAATACATACCTAAATGTATTATTCAAATAAATTTGTACTAAATTAATAATGTGTTAATATCATATTTGTAACTTTTAATTACATATAATTCAAAAGATTTTTTAATAACTTTTTTATTTACATATAGTTCTTTTTTTTCTGTACTTGATTTACATATACTCCTTGATTGTGCATAGAGATATCAGAATATGACTATTCCCGAAGAATAATGCTATTTGAAATTAAAAATTTGGCCTAATTTACTTTTAGATTGATTGTGCATCTCATAACCAAATTTTAACCAAGTTTCAATGAGATCACGTCATCAAGTAACCAAGTTTAAACGACTCTGCTATAAAAATAATGCAAACATAAATCCAACAAGTATCGGATCACTGATGAGTCACTGGGTTCAAACACCGGGTTGGGCCGGGTCTACCAAAATTGCATACTCATCTAACCTAAATCAGTTGTTACTCTCCACAGTATTTTCTTGTTTTTGGTCATCACAATATTTTCTTGTTCAATTGCCCAGAAATTAGATACGAGTGATTATTACACATTTATCTCAAGTCCTTTTCTATTGCCATCTGCCTTATCTAGAAGTATTATTCCACGTTTAACTAAAGGATATTGCCTCGAGGATATTCTCGGCATATGCTAGTGTGAGGACAGATTCCTTGGCAAAAGAATAATCAATTTTGTTTTATTTTATTTAACTTTTGGGTTAGTTTACATATATTCCCGATTAATCTATTTTCTTATTCAATCAAAGATAGTTTATCTACGTTGAGATTTATGATATTTACGAGGGATAAATTTATCAGGGTTTG